ATTATCGCCGCCACGGCTGGTCTCATCAGGTAAATTGCCCCTTCCTTGTGTTTAGTATGGAAGACCATACAGCTCTTTATTCTTAGTTCTGAATTCATGGTTGTTTATTCTTATTTCTTCATTTGATGCCGTATTTCGACATTTGTAAACTAAAATTAACACTGGTATCTTAAAATCAATATTTGTTTTACAAACCAGACAATTGTTATATCAGATATGTAAATATACAAGGACAAAAATCTCGAATAACAAATTTCCAAATACAAATCTCCAAATACCAATCTTGTAAAACCATTGTCAAAAATAATTTCTCCAAATTCCTCTAGGAAACGGTCATTAAAGCTTAACATACCTATTATAATAATATTAACATGGTCAATAAAATTTATGGGAGTTATCAAGTCTTTAATCAAATACACACTACTTACGATCTATTGTGATCAATGAAACTAGTGTCACTACTCACTAGATTATATGCAGTGTAAATATAAAACCTACGTTTGATACAAGTTTTGATTTACGATATCACCCTTGGTGGAAGTGAAGGTAAAACTCCAGGAACGAAAGAACGAACGAACAAGTCTTGATACCTCTTGCCACACCTATCCTCCACGAACGCTCATCATAAACATGTCGTTAAATTTTTGATTCATATCAAAATTACCAGTTTGAAAGTCAACAGTTCTACTATTTTTTAGTTATTTATTTAGAAGAAAGATCGATACTGACCTTTGAGAGACATCACAAGTGGTGTCCATCGTTACCTGAATATCTGATGTGTGATCTTATGTGATCAGCCATTCGCCCGAACGTTGAGTTATCTAATGATTAGTTTATTTTATTGTACATTTAACTTGGATATTTAATAATAATAACCTTTTTTATTTAATCTGTCTATCCGTCTATCCGTCTAAAAAGGTGTATACGGGTTTTAATTAAGAAATTCTTAATGGGAGATAAATCCTAAACGTCAATGGTCTTCCATATCAACTGACTTTAATGTTAAATCCACGACATTTCTTGGCTTATAACATCCTTTGAACATTCGAATGATTTTAATCCTTGTAATGACAAAGAGTCCAGTATGTCACATTGGCAGTCACAATCATCTGATAAAAATATTGAAAGGAGTTGACCATTTCGATTGCCTGCTAGGCCTTGTCAAAGGAACCTATAGGCAGTGGCGTCATTTCAGTTGACGGTCACCCTAATTTACGTCTGTCTACTTCTTGATCCTTCCGAATATTCACCAAAACCTGACAGAAGATTAAAATTCAAACAGTCTTCTTCGATTCTAGGGCATGCAAACTATCAAGGAAATACCTGGATCAGAAACTTAAATTATTTTATCAAAAATATGTGTAATGTAATGAATTTGTTTCCAATGCTGATAAGAAGGCTTTAATAACATTCTCGATGTATACCAATCACCGTCACTGCTGTAGCTAAATATAGTGTTCTATGAAATGAAATGTGGGTTAACGTCCTACTGTTCTGCACCGATGGAGGCTATAAAGCCAAAGAAAGTTGGTAGAGGTATGGTTGACTCTTTTGACGTTCGAGAGTAGCCAATATGAACAATCTGTTTCGTTGCACCTTTAAAAGGACCATCCCGATTTTAACAGAGTCTCAGAAAGAAAAGTCTTTGTACGTATGAAATTTAAGGGTTAAGCTATAGAGGAATGGTGCATTTACCTTGTCTGAAAATTTCAGCACAAAATATTGTTTCGTTTGGACGTGAACGTCAAAACCACTTATCCGGACACGTAACCCTTTTAAGATTTCGGGTCTTTGTGACCTGATAATCTATTACCGTCCCTTTAGAGGTCATACCCAGTGCGTTATGCATGTTCTGTACTTGATAACGAACGCTAAATGTCACATACACGTTATATTTTATAAATTTATAAAATAAAAAGTCTTGTTTCATCCAGACACCGCATAATACAGCTTGGGCCACCAGTCTCCATTTCCAGGTGGAGACTGACGGGTTTAAGTTGTTTGACAACGTATCACGTATACTGAGTTTGTTGTTCGGCCCTAAGGTAGAGTTTTTTTAAGGGGTTTTCACACAAAATTAAGCAGTTTTATTCTCAAAAATATCATCGAGATTGGCCCTTTAATATGACTTAGGCTAAATATACACGTTAATCTCACAGTTTTATTATCAAATGATACAGTATCACAGTTAGAAAATATTAGAAAATAATATAACATATTTGTTAGTCAATCAAACGTGTGATGTGGAAAATCATGTTTTTCCCACTGAACCACCCTGTCACAACTACCCCCTTCCCTCGCCAACACAGCAAAGCCAGCTTATTTAAAGGCTCAATACCACTCTTGTTGTAACTGAATAATATGTCCCAATCTTTATTCTGGTCAACAAATTATACTATTTTACAATATTCCAATTAATTGATGATACAAAATTCATCTTAACACACCTAATTTAAAAAATTCGAAAACTTCAACTAAATGATTTGAAAAGCCTGACGTAAAGCTTTTCAAATGTGACTTGGATTTAAAAATATTTTTGAACCCTTTGGACAAGTAAAATTGGATTTAATGGATAATTTACACAACAGGTAGGACACCAACACATCTAGTACTTAGAATAAGGTTATTTTTTATTTTCTGGAGCTGTCAAGCCAGCAAGAGTGTTATTGTCCCTTTAAGTAGAAATAGGTTGATCACAAAGGGAAAAACTTTATCACAAATTAAATGAGTGTATCTCATCAAGAATACGTTTATCACAGTAAATAATCACAGAGAGCATAAATGTGTCATATAAGTGGGTTTATCACAGAATAAATGATATTGTTATTGACGTTAATGAACCGTTTTAAAAAATAATAGTGGATCTATAGGTTTGCACCCCACTCCTCGCATCCCCGTTACAATATTCATATTCCTGGTTTCGGGGAGGGCTACAAGGAGCGAAGCACCCAGAAATACATATATTAAAATATTTCAATGATTTATAATGCGTATATCTGGTTATAATTTGTGACTGAGTGAGCCCAATGTCCAGCAGTTAGGTGAATTATTTTGGAATATTGTGTAGTTTGTCAATTACATTGATATACAATAATCAAAGACAATATAACCGAGTACATCAAGTATTTGTACAAAAAGTAACACGAAGGGAGTAAATAATAAAGAACAAAAAATCAGCAATGTACCTCCATAATTAATTAATTCATTCATGCAATTATTCTCATTGCTTGATAACTAGACAGAAGCCCTGTTGAAATGTTGCAATAAAATATCAAAATATTTATCATTCATAGCAATGTGTATTTGGGGAAAGAAGACATATCTTGGTGAGTTTCTATGGTCTGGCATCACTAGCGGTATATGATGAACCAATCTGATTAAAACACAGCTCATATTTCGATTCGTTTTTATATAGTTCAAAATTTCGTTTTACTTGTCTTCACAACACTGGGATTTGAAGAGTTGTAATATAACCTGCGTTCTGGTTGAAATGAGGGATAAGCCAATAAAATGGTCTGTTACGGCGAGTTCTTGGGGTGCGATGCACGAAACTGTGGGTAAACCGCTAGAAACGTCTTAGGGTCAAAAGATCTCTGACACGACCTTCCACTACATCCGGTCAGATCTTCATGTAGTGTAGGTCATTGACAGTATAAAAAACCGAAACGAAATATAGATCTGTATTTTAATCAGATTGATGATGAACAGAACAATTTGTATAAAAATAAAATATTTTCTTAGTCAGTCAAAAGGAATACATGTCAGCAGCTCATTTATCGCCTGTGCTCTGTCTTTAAGCCACTAGATTACTGATACGTGCTGTTTTGCCATCAGGCGTATTAATCCATCTTGTTGCATTTGTTTTTGTGTTGTATTCGTACAAATTACCTGAAACTATATATAATAATGCCAATGTTAATTGATTCAATCATAAAGTATCCAATAAACATTAACTAATTCAAAGCGGATAAATGTTCGGAAATCATTATTGCTAAAGAGGTTAGCATAAATCAGTATTACAATTAAAGTTACCAGAAAATGCAAATTCGACCGTTATATACCCCCCCCCCCCCAAAAAAAAGAAACCACACACACCCCCTTTCATTTTTAAAAAAGAAATATCAAGAAATAAGATTGCTATAGTTTAACTGACGTGTTTCACATGTATTTATTTCCATCCTATTTTACATCTTTTAAATTCACTAGTCGATATTTACTACGCACGTCTAAATACATATCACCAAAGTTAAAATATATGTATTATAATATATCATGCAATCGTTCTTTCACCTTTAAATAATAATTATTTTACCTGGATCTACGGCCATTCCGTCAAAGTTGCGGTTTGATATTCGGTGCGATGGAGCATCATCTACAACAGGTAAAGGTGTCATTGTTTGAAGGCGGGTACCAGCAGTACTTAAAGGAGCGATCTGCCCACCCCAGAAAAAGTCTTCATCATATGGCTTAACTGGCACGGTCTAAAATTTATAAAATGGTGAAACGATGAATCTCTTAGAATCTATAGCTGTGTCAATATAGTGACGATTACCAAAGAAAAGTCTTCATGGGGGGACTACAAAGCAGCAATTCCATTTAATCTGAAGCCATTGGAGGTCTTAAGTTATTCTTCAAAGTCGCTTATATTATTTTAGAGATACGCGACACTCCGATCAGTATTTACTCATTACGTATTCCCGTAGTAACTCATTCCGTTTTCCAATGAAAGCTCTCGTGATCCACGGACACTATTTAATTATCTTACCTTAGATTTAGTAACCATTGGTAGAGACAGAATGGCAGGAGGAGGATGTTTCTTCAAATCCTGATCTAAATCAGGAATTTCACCTGAATAAAAATAACGAAAATATGACTGGCGATAGCGTTGTCAAGATGGAGGTCAGGGTTTGATGTGATGAAAGTCAAACTTCATCTAAACAAAATGAGTGTCCACACGGTTTCAGTTACACGTTCACACAATGTAAGCTTTATTTTTTTTTTTAAAAATTCTAAAAGACAATATATCTAAATTATCGTAAATAATTAATACGTTACCATTTTTCATTTTAGATTTATTATCAACAAGTTGGGCACGAGCTGGTTTAATTGGTCTGTAAAGAAAACAAGGAAAACAAAAAATGGACATTTAACTGATCACAAATGAAATGAAATGAGGTTTAACTTACAGTGAAGACGTTTAATTGATCAGAATAAGATTATAAAATCTGCGAAATAACTAAACGTTGAATGGGGTGTAATTAAATACAATTTTGTCATGTATTTCCTTCACGAGTTTGAAAGTGTAAATGAAGTGATATCTCCAGAGCTCCACCAATATTTGTATCGAGTTCATAATCTTTTAGACGGAACGATATTTCAATTTTCCAACAAATATGCCCAAATGAAAAATACTACCACGTGTCAAACATTTTTATGGAACTTGACATGTGTCGCTTTAAGTTCACTTCAAAATATTTGCGATCCCAAATTCTGAGTTTTGTTAGGGGTTTTCCGTAAGCCCCAATGTGGAACCCGTCTCAGATTAAAGAAGTAATTCCACTGACAGTCACATGTTATCAAGGACTTGAACGGTGGAAATGTCTTTCTACGTCATCAATAAGGTAAAGAGTGAAAGAACTTAAAATGGTGATTATAATTTGTCCTACGTCATCAATAAGGTAAAGAGTGAAAGAACTTAAAATGGTGATTATAATTTGTCCTTATGGATTACAAAATGAAATGAAATTGGGTTTAACGTCCTACTGTTCTGCTCCTATACTGGGCTAATGAAGACGGGCATACGCCATACAGTGTGCTATGAGGGAAATTTTGCCCGGACAGCGGCACTATCGCCTACTCTTATATCGAATTCCAACTGCCAAGGGATCTTTTACGTGCATTCCAATGTATACACGGGACCTCGGTTTTTCGTCTCATCCAAAGGACTAGACAGCTGTCCTTGTCAGGCCCCCCGTTCTGCACCACTGACAAGGGGAAACCACGTCGGAAAATCCCGATGAACTTTCTCGGCCAATGCAGGGATCGAACATCTGACCTCCAGGCTAGCGAGCCAGCGTCTTAACCACCTAGCCACCGTGGCTCCCTTATGGATTACATGGATTACACATTATATGCTTTAATACTATTTGTTTTAATTAAAGTTGATCGTATTACCTTTGTCTCTGCCTGTAACGTCTTATACATAAATATATACATAAAGCTAACAAAAACAAAAGCACTAAACAGATAATAGTGATGACAGCTATTCCAGTAGGTGTGTCGTTCCATGCTGTAGTCTGTTCTTGGTAAGGTCTAACAGTTTCCACAGAGTAGTAATTCCAGTTAGGACCTGTAAGAAATAATTATCAAGAGCTGTCTTCATGATTTAACTGGCATTCAAATATGACAATATAAAAGCTATTAGTGATTTCAATAAAGGAACATTTGGAAACACCATTATGATTCGCAATTTAATGTGTCCCTTTAACTGTCTCCAATGACCGATTACTCTGTATACTGCTTCTTATTAATCTGTTTATAGTTAATTTTATACCCTTGTTATCTTGTTTTCTTTTGGTGCCTCTACTACTACTACCAAGGCCGCTTCCACCTCGGGTGATATCACAAACATATATTTCTCATTAAGCTATCCCGTACCAAACTAATGAAAAACGATTGCCTACACCAGCACACAGTTGGAGAAGCGGAAAAAGAAACAAGCGACTTGACAAACACCTCATCTCCTTGACTTCAGATTATGGAGTTCGGGGCAGTATATTATGGTTCTGTTTTACCAATAAAAAAAAGCCCAGTAACCAAAGCAGAGGCGATGTGCTTTCATCGTTTCCTATTAGGAATTTCGAGGTGCGAAGCAGGAAATGATTATTAAAAAAGATATGTATTAGCCGTTGATCAAAATTTACCTGTTACTGCTGATGATGGTGAGCCGTTTGGATCAGTTGTAAAGAAGGAAAGGGCTTGATCATAGGTTAGGAACGTTTTGCCTCGGTTCCTATTGGTTATGGAATCTGTACTATTATCAGTCAGAGCATAAACATGAACACTGACAGGACTGAAATGGAGAAATCATTTTAGTTTTTAAATAAAATAGTGTATTTTTGAACATGTTTTGTTCTTTAATAGAAGAATAATTCTCTACTTGAGACAAGTATTATTTTTGATTTGCATTAATCTATATAGTATTCTTCGAAATTAGCCACCCCTGGTCCAATGCTTGGCCAAATCTGCTCGGTTTATAACTAATTCTATATCATACATTGACAAAACATGATTATATGTATAACCTCAATAAAATAATTTTGATATACAAATAAACTAAGCAGAATTACAACAGAATACCACTTAACATTAAGTGTTATTACCTCCCTTCGACAGGTCTCATGGTTGGTCTCATTGTTTATTTAAATTGAGTGCGATAATAGGGGTGGCTAACAATATTGTCTTTTCTTTTATCAAAAAACGGTACTCAACAATAGGAGTGCGACAACATATCAACTCAAAATATATAGTAAAAAACGACGCTGGCCAATGACCAGCAGATAATGACAGTGTGTCCGATGAGATATGCCATTACAGTGGCGATAACTCTGGTTTGCTCGTCATTGCTCGTGATAACATACGACAGTAATATAATTGTTACAGAATTTATGAACTAACTGGTTGTTGGCCTATTATCCACAGCGAAAAGCAACATGGCTCTACTGCACTAGTCCATACATGATACTGATTCCGTACTGTTAAGTTCGGAAAATAACAATGCTAAGCACTGTTACTGCATTTTGCATAAACTTCTCTCCGAGAAAAAAACCCTCATTGAAATAGAATGTTACATTACTTGGTAGCTAGTAGCCGTCGTCTGGCAGGAGGTATTATGGCGGTACCAGATCTTTCTTCTATACACCAAATCCTAGTTTGGGCATTGGGATATTTTACTCTCATAAGGTTTGCAGCTTGAACTAAAAACTCGGTTTGTTTAGCTAAGAAATCTGCACGGCTGATTTTTAAATTGAAAGTTATTATGATTTCATTAGGCGTAAAGGTATCAATACGTAGAGTGGCTGCTGTGGGAGAAATTTGTAAAGGTACGCCATTATCTCTGGCATTGCTTGTTAGTAAATAATTAAAATTGGTTGATGCTGTTGACTTCAAAGTTAATAGACCTGTAAGAAATTGTTTCAAAATTATTATTAGGTGATAAAAGAACATAACAAAAATAGATATGAAATTTGCCAAGTACATAAACTGTGAAAGTGAAATACTTAAATAAAGTTTGAATATATAGAATAATGCTAAAATTTCAAAATGTTATTAAATATACCTGACGTGATATCCATTGTAAAAAGATGATCATAAGTACTTTGGACCAAATAATAAATAACTTCTCCATTAGTCCCTACGTCGAGGTCTGTAGCCGAAACGGTCAATATATTATTGGTACATTGTCCAGCGTAAGCGACTTCAGAGTTATAAAAAACTGGATTAAAGATCGGTGCGTTATCATTTAGATCCAAAACTGTTATGGAAACTGATGCACTCGACGTTAATGCTGGTGTTCCCTTGTCTATGGCTTTCAAAAAGAAATTAAAATTTGACACCGTTTCACGATCGATGACAGTTTTGATTGATAGGATCTGAGTTAATGTGTCTATAGTTAAATAATTATCAGCGAGAACACCACCTGCCGTTGAGGTATCTATGCTTAATGTGAAGTCTTTATTGATGCCAATGTCGTTATCCGTTACGGTTACAGCAAGAACGTTGGTACCAACTGCGGAGTTCTCGGGGGTTGTTACGCTATAAGTAAACGAATCAAACGTGGGAAAGTTATCATTCTTGTCTGTAACGGTTATGGTGGCGTTAATGAATGTAGAACGAGGTGGAATTCCGCCATCTTGAACTTTGCAACGAACAAGATATTCAGCTATAGATTCTCTGTCTAGCATTACGGTAGATTTTATTTCTCCTGTTAATCCGTTTATAGTAAAATGAGTCGAGTCACCAGTCCAGAAATTAGACAGATAATACATTAGCTGCGCATTAACCCCTTCGTCAGCATCGATGGCTGCTAAAGTTCCAGCTATGGTCCCATTAGCCTCATTCTCTGGTATATTAAACATGTAGGGTGTTCCTATGAAGATAGGGTCGTTGTCGTTGATGTCTCCAATTGTTATTGTTACAGTTATGTCCGTGAATTTTGAAGGAACACCATTATCTGCTGCTCTAATCTGAAGTACGTAACTGGGTGTTCTTTCCCTGTCCAGGTCATTATTTATCTGGATTGAAAAGATTAAAAAAAACTAAGTGAATTCGCTAGGCAGATTGGACGAAAATGCATATTTATTTTAGGAGAGAGAGAGAGAGAGAGAGAGAGAGAGAGAGATGGGGTTTACGTCCCCTCGACACAGACTAGGTCATTTCGGGACTAACATGTTTTTTAAAATTTTATTTCAATAGTTCGCTTGCGCGTAGGGGTCTTTAGCAGTGGGAGGAAACCGGAGGCCCCGGAGAAAACCCACGAGCTTGGACAGGCGACCCTACGCCTTGTCACGTACAACCGGGGATTCGAAACCACGTCAGTTGACTCATTGACGGGCCTTATGATACAGCACACACGTGCTAACCATTCGGCCATCCAACCCCCCTTTATTTTAGGAAGAATCATATAAAATATAATCCGTCGTTAGTATAAAAGACAGAACAAATACTCGTCATGATCTACTTACTAATAATAAACTAATCATAAACTTTTTCTTGTTTATAAATACGAAAAAACGATTGTATACAGAATTTAAGATTTGGTTACCTGGACAAAACCATCGTCCGCATCTATTCTGAAGTCACCGCCTATGTTACCACCAACTAACGAAAACGTTATTCTTCCGTTTTCGTTTTCATCAGCATCTGTGGCTGCTATTCTAAATAAGATGGTACCAACACTGGTATTTTCTAATACCGTTCTATCATAGTTACCAGTTATAACAGGTGCATTATCATTCACATCAATTAGTTCTACTGTAACCGTTGCTGTACCAGTTAAAGATAGGGTACCTTGATCAACAGCTTTTAAAATTAATATGTGGCTAGAATGGCAAAAAAAAACAAGTTATTTTAACATCTCAAATCCGACAAAAAAAAACAAGTTATTTTAACATCTCAAATCCGACAATTTTTACTAACTGATTACTTCTTGTTTGATTCTTAGAACATGGTGACATGAACAAATATTAACCATTCTTTATTATGACCCAACCCGAAATCTCAATTAAATTGAAAATAATATGTCGTCAAATAATATCAAGTAAAGAAGCCGCTTGGAAACAACAAATACGCAGCAATCTATCTTGTATGTCTCTTTTTTGGGTGTGCGATCTTGTCCGATAAATTGAATGCGTTACGATCAATGCAGATTGTGGTAGCATCTCTTACCTGGCTTGTGTTTCTCTGTCTAGCAGATCTTTGGTACTGATGATACCATTAGCACCATTAACTCCAAAGAAATTATCCGTAAGTGAATAAGTAAAAATATTGTTACTGTTAGCTGTGGAATCCGCATCTTTAGCATTAACTGTTGTGACGGATGTTCCCAAGGGGACATCTTCAAATATATTAACAGTAAAATCCGCTGGCGAAAAGATTGGTGGATTATCATTGATATCGTTGATAGATACTTTAACTAATGAAGAAGATGTTAATGCTGGAGTTCCACCATCTACAGCTTGTACAACCAGATAATATAAAGTTTTAACTTCATGATCTAATAAAACTTGGATATTGATAACGCCAGTTGCTGGATTAATTTCAAAACTTGTTTGTCCATCTCCTGATACTATTGAATATGTAACTTGTCCATTTACTCCAGAATCAGCATCATTAGCTACAATCTGGGCTACAGGTGTTCCTACAGTTACGTCTTCATTTATAGCTGCATTATACGTATTTTGAGTGAACACTGGATATTCATCGTTCTCGTCAGTAAGGGTAATAGAAAGCCACATAGTATCAAATAGTCCACCAGAGTCTTCTGCCTTTAGGGTTAGATTGTAAATTTGTGGGGGTGTATCGTAGTCTAAAACTGACCATACATACGTTACGCCTTGATTAGGGTTGATGTAGAAAGTTGTGTTACTCGGTCCATTACCGCTGATGATATAATAACTCACTTTCCCTCCAGTTCCAACATCGCTATCAGTAGCCGTAGCGTTATAAATATTTGTCCCAACCGGTGTAGTTTCATTTATGATAGCACTACCGTTGGGATCTGTAAATACAGGTGCGTTATCATTGGCGGGTAAAACATTGATCACGACTGTGGCTGTCCCAGTTAACTTTAGCGTACCACCGTCTGTGGCGTGTACCACAACGGTATGAGATATCACCGTTTCGTAATCCAAAGCGCCATTTAACACCAAAGTATTACCTGAGATTTGAAAAAAGGAAGACGGATCCGATTGTATGGAATAAGTTGGCGTTGCATTGGCACCAGTGTCATCGTCGGTGGACGTTAATGTAGCAACCATTGAACCTGGTGCTGCACTTTCTAGAACATATCTTATGTACGTTGTAGGTGTAAAAACTGGTGGACTATCATTGATATCAGTAACTGTTATGATGACCTGTGTATCAGCTGATCTTCGATCTGAAGCTCCTGGTGTACTATCAGTAGCACGGACAGTCAATGTATAGGATGGTGTTGCTTCCCTGTCCAAGTCATTAGTAATGGTTATCTGCCCTGATGTGGTGCCAATTAAGAACTGACCAAGTGAGTCTCCGCCAATAATAGAATATCTTGGTGTACCATGCGAGTTGCCTGTATCAGCATCGGTTGCTGTTACAGTTACTACTATACTACCAATCACTCGATTTTCTGGTACTGTAGTCGAATAGCCGCCTGCTGGGAAGACTGGGTTGTGTTCGTTTACAGGACCGATCAGTACACTAATTGTTGCCGAGGTTGTTTTGACTGGTGTTGCCTGGTCGATGACATCAATTAAAAGGGTATAGGATGTCATAGTCTCATAATCAATAACTGTAAATATATAAGTGAACAATAATCAAAGTGATCAGCTACCAAGTTCTAATAATCAGAGATAATAGAAAATGTACGGGTTGGTGGATTAAAGAGTAGGTGATTACGTTGCAGAAAGACGCTGCGCTTACAGCAAAGTTTTCGGTTCCCATTTTTCGTCTTTCTGATTCGAGTAGGACAGTTGCCTCTATATCATATAGTTCTTAACCTTATCGGTGTATTTAAGGTAATGCGTACAACTAGGACATTAGTTAATTTTTTCCCAGTAGTTATGTCAAATTCCTTACCATTAGCAAGACTAAGGGCTCCGGTAGCAGCATCCAGTGCAAATGCATTACCAATATTACCATTTGTTATAGAATAAGCTAATACATCAGCAGTGTCAGCATCACTGCATGACAAAGACGTCACCTGAAATTTCATAATCAGATCTTAATTTAATCACCATTGCTGTACCTGTGCTATGTGGTGGTTGTAAAGCGACATCGCCATAGACTACGCATTTGTTAACCTCGCGAAATTTATTGCATAAAATAATTGATACCTGTACGATATTTCCTGGCCACATCACGAAGTAGTGAAAGGCATTATTTGCTCATAACCACTGAATATACTCGTTACCATTTCTTCTGAAAAATGTTCTCATGAGAACTAATTAGTGTTACTATAAGTCATGTTCAAAAATAAAACTCCGATAACAGGTTTCCCGTGAATAACGTTAACTAACTTACAGGGGCATTAACTGCAGCATCTTCAGCGATAGTAGCTACCACATCATAAGACGTACATGTAGGTGCGTTCTCATTGACATTGGTTATTGAAACTGTGACTGTGGTAGAAGCAAATTTAGCGGGAGTTCCACTGTCAGTGGCTGTTACTTCCAGAAGATATACTGGAGTGGTCTCAAAATCTAAACTAGTCATAGTTTTTATCACTCCTAATGTACTATCCACAGTAAAAGCTGTGTTTGTGTTACCAGCTAAATAAAAATAAATACTATGAAAATTACGAAAGTATCAATTGAGATAAAACCAAAAAGTGAAATTATTCATACATCACCACTATGAAATTATTAAAAAATATATCTTAGATTCGAAGAAAAATTAAAATTTGGTATTTTGAAATTCGGTGAAAATGTTTTACACTTAAAACAACCGACAGTAACTTTAACGCAAACTATTTGTACAGATTCAGTTTCGGTTAATCGATTGATATTAAATTGTAATTGTAGAAGGTGATCCCCAAACTTCCAATGTACAAACCAAACATTCCATAAGTAATAATATTTACCTGTTATCGAAAATGTGATTTTACCATGGTCACCATAATCCGAATCCGTGGCTACAACTTTTGCAACTGAAGTTCCTACAGTAGCATCTTCGCTTACCTGGAATATTGAGAGATTGACATTCATAATTATAACATCATAACGCTCTCTACATAGACATTTTGGTATATGGTCCTCAATAAATGTGAAAGTGTTAAATCTCAGACATCGCTGATGAGACACAGGCGTTATAAGATTCATTGCAAGTGGTGAGTCTACATTTTATAGACTTTAGTAGTTCAGCGGATGCCAATGCTAAAATGTTCACACGAAGTAGGTCAGTACTTGGATTTTTGATAATAATGTGATGGTGTTAAGTTAAATATGATATTATATAAAAACCATTCCTGTTGAAGGTGAGACTATCTAATTTAAGATAGATTTACAAGTGCTATCCCAGTGCTGTTAACTGTATGACATTTCCTGTCCATAGTCTTGAAGCAGTGTTGATAAGTATCACTAGCTCATTACCACTGAAGATGCTCTTCATCATTGTTTCTGTAGAGATATAGACTTAATCATAGTTTTTAAGATTAAAATGATGCCTTACTTGTACAGTATTAGACGGATCAGTAGTACCAAATACTGGAATAAACTCGTTAACTGGTGTCACAGTAACGGTGACAGAAGCCGTTCCAGATAACGCTCCATCATTAGCTTCAATACGTAGTGTGTAAATATTGGGTAAGCTACTCGGTGGATCTAAATCTATGACTTCCTGCACTTCTAATAATCCCAGCGTGGTCGTACTAAATGTGAACAAATTCAACCCGTCACCGGCCAATATTGCATAGGTTAAAGTTGTTGGTGTTGCATCGTTATCTGTGGCTAAAGTCTGGACAACGCTTCCACCAGTAGCCAACGTTTCTAGAATGGTTACAGAATAACTATTGGAGCCAAAGACAGGTGCTATATCGTTGACATCTGTTAGTTCAAAAGTTATAGTTCTGTCGATTGATTGGGGAGGGCTGCCCCCGTCTTTAGCCCTCACAGTGACCTCATAATATACAACACCACCTGTTGCTGTGTCAGTATCAAGTAGTTTTAATGTGGAGAGAACTCCTGTTGTAGTATCGAGGGTAAAAACACCATTTTGAGTGGTCCCGAAATCTGAAATGAGAAATAAGACTAGAGTATCGCCTATGTTATCGCTCACTAACCAGGAGGTATCCTGTACCATCGGCAACACGTTAAGGGTCTCCCGAAACAAGAGTACGTCGTAGCGCCGCTGTCGGGACAAAATTTCCGTCAAAGCGCATTGTATTATATGTCTGCATTTGCCAGTTTGTTAAAAAAAATAAGACGTCAAACCCTCTTTCATTTCATTCTCTATGCTTCTTTTGAACGCGTGCATTGTGTTATTTAATACCGATTTATACTGATTACGATCATTATTATCAACTAAGAAAAACACCCAGTACGACAGATGAAAAAGCCCGAATTCATCATATCCACTGACAATTGATACCAAAGCCTTTCGATTGAACCGTGTCTTCGGGACACTAAACAAATATGCCTGTTAATGCAAGATGTGTTGATTAAAAGTAAATACCATCAGCTACAGATATAAGTTCAAAGGTTACGGTTCCATCAACGCCAGCATCTGCATCCGTGGCTGCAATTGTCACAACATTGGTTCCAACCGGAATACTTTCTAAGATATTGTAATTAACACCAACAGCAAATGCAGGTGTAAAGGCTTCCCATTGGGGACTGTGCTCATTTTGTGGTGAAATCTGAAACACAGAAATCGAGAATTAATTATCCTTTCTATGTGCAATCCTTTTAGAAAGGTAATCGAAAATCCTACAACCATTCAAAACACGGTTTTAGGGTTGGGGTATGTTTGAAGCTAAAATATGTGTACGTGTACCCACTGGCTGCGAAATCGGGTGTACCATGCACTAACGTCCATTACTTTTAAATAGAAAATTTTTCAGCCTAATTTAATGTAAAGCATGCCTACCGAAACAACAACCGTTGCCGTTCCCGTTTTCTTACTGGCGCCGTCGTCTACTGCATGTATTACCAAATTGTATTGATACAACTGGGCACTTAAACTTTCGTAGTCTATAGGTGTTGCTGTTGTTTCTATTGCTCCACCAGTGATACTGAATTTAGCTGCTGCATCGTCTCCGCTAAATATTGATAATGTTATTGCACCATTATTTCCAGCATCAGCATCCGTACAAGTTATTATTACGACTGGTGTATCTGAATAATTAATATTAATTCAGGAAGTAAAAAAAATGAATTGGGTCGGTTATAAATGATTTCATCTCGACTATCGTATGACAAATCATAAACAATCGTGACATACTATTGCTGTGGATAACGAGCCAGGGTTTCTTGCACGTGTACGCCAACGATTATACGATGGGCCTGGATGTTTTGTACCACCCGAACGATAAGACGCATTTTCCCTGCCAAGGATACTGCCCTGAACATGGGAAAAACCAGGCTGGAAAATCTCAGGGCCCTCCTCGCTCGATAACGGGATCGAACAACGATCCATCTTGCTCAACTGGGACGATGGGTGTGTACTTTGTGTTTTATCCCATGTTCTTTTCCCTTTGCCATTAATTGAAGAGGTCACTGTTGAGGAAACCTGATACACTTCCTCTTTCTAAATAAGTCGATAACAATTAATTTCTTAGTTATTTGCGAATACGAATTTCCCATTTTCCTTCATGTGGTGTTCATTGAAACTTCATCTCATATTATAAATCAATTTGAATACTAGTAAACATAGTTACTTACTGATAACAGAATTTTCAGTTATTGTCTTAAAATAAGATGATGGGTCACATATAGGAGTATTATCGTTAATATCAATAAGTGTGACAGTTAATGTAGCTGTTCCAGTATTACCACCGCCATCTGCTACAGTCAGTAGTATTTGATCAAAAACTGTAATAGCTGATGCTGCATCACGATCCAATCTCTTACCAACAGTTATTTCTCCGGTTGTGCTTTGTATCTGAAAGTAACTGCTGTGCAGACCTGCAATATAAATGTTCAACAAATGATATTTAAAG